CCCCAAAACCCCAAAACCCCAAAACCCCAAAACCCCAGAATATATAAGAAAAATAGATTTAAGATAATTAAACATTAAAAAACATGGAAAAGAAATCTAAAAAATGTCTTGAAAAGTTGTTTCTCCCCTCTCACAGCATCAAAATAATGTCATACTTCGGCTATGCTCATGAGGTTTTCTTCTTAATGGTCCGCCTTAGCAGAAAAACTAGCGCTATCATCAAAAAGCACGAGTTGATCTTCATCCAATATTTAGAAAAGAAAGTCAGAACAATTAATAGCTCTTCAATGTAAAATTGCTTCCTAACCTGTAGGTGTCAGTTGGAAAAATTTTCAGAGAAGTATATGAGGTTTTACCAGCTTGACATCAGACTGATGAATAATAAATATACTGCTAGAGTCAGAAAAGTCTTAGAAAAACTCATCAGTTTTGAAAATGAACTCCCAGAGATTAAACAATTCAGAAATAATCAGAAAAAGCTTAAATCTCTAAAAGCTAAACTTGAAAAAGAGAGAACAGGAACTAGAAAAATGCCTAAGTTAAAGGTTAAATGGAAAGAGGAGGTTAGAGACCTTGAAAAACAACTTAGTGCTTTTCAAAATTCTGCAAAGCCTTCATATTACAACCCTGGAAAGATTAGTATCGCTGTATCAAACTACAAATCAATCCTGAATCTTATTCACCAGAATAAGCCAGATTTGGTCAAATATCCATATGATAAGAAGGTTGAAGTTAGTGGGACTCAACGCTATCTTCCTTTAATGTCAAATGTTAGTTTCTCTCTAGGAGTCAACAGTAAGTTCAACCAAACATGTTTGGTTTTGACTTTTATGCATAGGAGGAATAGCGACAGATAATGAACTTACTGAGCAACCTGAGGATTCAAATAATCCTAGCAAAACTATTTTCCAAAAGTATCTTCTAGCCATAACTTCTAGAGCAAAGATTACAATCAATGAAGTCGAACATTTTGATCTTTTCGTTCCCAAAGTAAAGAGATCTGCCAAAGTTATATCCTTAGATATAAGAGCGAAAAATAGACTCATGTGATTCTGTGATGCATTAAGTTCAAGTGATAAGCTATTCGAAGCTACTGATATTTTAAAACTATCCTTGGAAATGAATTGAAATCCCTTTACCAGAAATCAATTTATCAAAAAGACATTCTTCAAATCTCTAAACTACATCCCCGCTCCAAATCTGAAGAAAATCTGTTTCTTAAAAATCCAGTCTCAGTTCATTTTCGAATTCCTCAGCCAGTGTAATAGCAAAGGGCTAAGATGTCTCCAATCGAACTATCCTGAACTAGAAACGATAAGTTTTAACTTAAACGAAGTGCGTTCCTCTAGTATTGAGGATTTATTAAAGACATCAAATGAGTTAGCTAGCATCCCAGATGACACAATTAGATTCGAGCACAAAGTTATCTTAGTCAATCGTAAGTCACAAAATAAATCCTGAATGGGCTGTAAATGCATCCTGATGTTCTAGGCATAGGTTGGGAGTAGTTTTAGACTGGCTAGTTTGAATTCAATAGATAGTCTCATTATGAACGTTCGCTTTAAAGCATGTGTTGTCATTATTCCATTCTAAAATTCTTGTGTTTCAGAGTAGAATATACTTTAGCCATATAGTTTAAAATAATAAAGATCATTATGATCATCCAGACGGCCTGTCTAGACTCACATTCTTTATGAATTAGATTACCAAATTATTCTATTATATCACCATAATTTCCTTAGAAACTAGAATAATCTAAAACTGCATCATAAATGTCTAGATCCTTGCTCATAAACAGGGCCAGTGGCATTTTATTGGATGCCAAATTTTTCTCATATTAGATTACAAATTTGTGATAGTATATCTCCATCCAACACAAATTAGGGATGAGTGACTTATAAAAAGTAAAGGCAAACACCTGTGCTTATTACTAGATAGATAATCCATATGCATAAAGATAAGATGAATTTATAGCAAATCTAGTAACTAATTATGAAACTAAGCATTTATAGCCCTTGCTAACAATACCATGATGCCCATATAGTGACAGGTTCCAAAAGTATCTTTGAAATAACTACCAATTCTTCTTGTTCGTTTGAAACAAATTGCTTAATGAGAGTAACAAAGGACAATTTCCTCTTTGGAAATGTGTGGTCCATGACTATTTCCAAGCTTACCCAGTGCAAGTCCCTCAGCTTACAAATCTTGAGAGAGAACTACCCCAACGAGTATGGGTACATAGCTTCAGATAAGGTAAGTCTCAAAGAACTAATCCATAGTCCCCTGTCAAGACCAAGGGAAGTTATGCAATTTTACCAAGAAGCTGCATCAGAAACCTGATATACGTACCCAAAAACTCAAATTAACGGTTCTTTAAATTGACTCTAAAATTTGGCGAAATATGACGATTTCTGACAAATTCAATCCTAAGGGTGAACAACGGGGTTTTGGGGTTTTGGGGTTTTGGGGTTTTGGGGTTTTGGGG